AGGCTTAGTTAAATTATAGAGTACAGTCATGAGGCTACTTTGTCTGAGTGAAATTGTCACACACACACACACACACACACACACACACAAACGCGCGCACACACACACACACACACACACACACACACTTGACCGATATGTTGAAATGACAGGTTTTACAGTCTGGTTAGATTCCTGTGCCTGAAAGAAAACTATCTAACTCACACACTTGGCAATGTGATCTCCGTCTAGTGTCCTTTCACACGATGAAAAACAACAGAACATAGATGAGTACACAGCCAGCTGAATAACTTACAATTCCTTTTATCTGTCTCTGTCTTCTCTTTAGGCTGCAAAGAAAACAGATAAACCAGTTAAATACTTTTGATGTTTAATAATGCTAACACTTTCAAAATTATGTCCTCTAATAATGAATATTTCTTGTTTAATAAATGTTTAGTCTTTTCTATACAGAGAGTTTATTAAATATGTAAAAATGTTAGCATGCTGCTAAGCTAATGACACATTACTCCAACTAAAGCATAAAATAAAAAAAATCTTTACATAAATTATATACAAAATTGTTTACTTTTACATCCAGTAAAATAACGCTTAACATAGAAATAAGCAGTGTGCATGTAAAAGATCTAGGTTTTTATTCAATGTAATGAAAACGTAAATGATAATTGGTGATTTTGAAATGAAATGGTATTGATTCATATAGATTTCCCTAAGCAAATATTAAATCCTAAACTTCTTCAAAAGTACAGCTTAAAAAGTCAACATTTCAATACAGGACTTGTTCTGCAGGCACTATAAATATGACTGAATAAACAATTATTAACAACAATAGCACATGTGATTTTGAAGGCATGAGAACTATAGAAAAAACAGAGCAGGAAGATATTTTTTCTGCCTAACATGCGTCAGAAATCTTCTTCCTGTACTCACACAGACACACATGTTAGCTATCAAATAGGAACATCCCATAGACTTCTATTGTTTTTATTTACAGCTAGTTAGAAATACTTTCTGCATATTTAGTTTTAAAAATCTTTGTTCTAGTTTATTTTTAGATGGTTTTTACAAATGAGGATGTCCCAAGATAGAGGTTTTGTCAGATGTAGCTCATTTCAGATATGAACATATTTGCCACCAAAAGATGGTTAAGTACACACACACACACTAATCTTACTATTCTTCGCTCATTACTCAAGACAAGAACACACACAGCTCTACCCTAAAACCAAACACACATTCACACAGGGATATTTGGAATGCGTAAAACCACCTTAAGCAAGCATGCAGTGTTTTTTGTGTGTTTGTATTTGAACTGGATATGATAAACTACATTACGTTGATGATGCACCAGCACATGCGGTGTCATGCGAGTGCACTCAAGGTCACACTGCAGCTCTATGTGTGAAGTGCTGATGTGTTGATATTATGCTGTTTGATGGCTTCCTGTGATTGTTTAGCTGAAGTTCGGACCTCCAGGCACTGTGTTCTGTCATTATACCACACTAAAACAAACACTAACCCTAAGTATGAGCAATAGTAATAGTGATGCTCGCCTCAGCACCACTAATCATTCTCACTGGTCATGTGAGTGTTGCTGTTGCTGTTGTGTGTGTGTGTGTGTGAGAGAGAGAGTGTGTGTGTGTGTGTGTGTGTGTGTGTGTAACAATTAATAAGCAGAAAATTAGAAGTTTATTGAGGCATAGTTAATGGTTAGTTAATAGTGAGAATTGGACCTTAAAATGACCACTTCATTTTTGCAATGGTAGCTAAATACCAAAGTACTCCACAAACTACAGTCTTGGGTAGACCACCTATTATGAAACACATTCGTACAAAGAATAAATTCATCTTGGGTGACTGTGATCAAATGGCATCTATAACCAAAAACTATTTATTTTGCATGATGTTGCATCTATACAGTATAGTTTGTATTATAAATAGTAAATAATGTAAATAGTCCTTAACTTTTTGCAGGGACTTGGAACATAGTTGACACTTGCATGTGTTTTTTCCAGGGTTCAGTTTGCTGGCTACAAAGTGAGTCGACCTCATGGAGACACTGGTCATTATAAGTCTATACCACACCACCACCGAGGGGAAGTCCAGTTTCTGGGCAGGTAAGATGAGAACAGCCCTTTCTAAATATTTATTTTGCCATATTTCAGATGACATCCTGAGTGCATGCAGTCGACATTGAATTGTTGGGAAATAGAATGCAATGGTTGTTACAGAAACAATTGTTATGCAAATTGTTGCATTGAATTGAATTTCATGGAAAAAGGCCCAGTCTTTCGTAAGATTACGCCTTATTCATGAAACACATGCACAACAGATTTCTGTGTTTATCATTCCTAAATCCATTATTGTGTAAATTATTGAACTAAATGAAACTGTTAGCGTAAAATGACCATATTTTAGATCCCTTAATCCTGCACCATACCTTAACATAACAACTACCACACTGACTATTAATAAGCAGAAAATTGGGTGTGTGTGTGTTTGTGTGTGTGTGTGTGTAGTGCACGGGTGGGCTACACTTATGCCTTATGAGTAACTCATGACTGGCCTTCATGTGATCTGGTCCACAATTCAGATCAGGTCATTGCTAGCATATGTCTCTGTGCTTTATATTTTTTATACACTACTGTTTAAAGTTTGGGGTCAATATGATGCATTATTATTATTATTATTATTATTCCACAGCATGGATGCATTAAATTGTTTAAAAGTGACAGAAAGGACTTTTACAGTACATTGTTACCACAAAAAAAAAAAGATTTCAGAATAATGCTGTCTTTATGAATTTGTATTTATAAGAATCTGTTCACTAAAGATTGGAATATTGGTGCTGAAAATTTAGCTTTGCCATCACAGAAATAAATTACATTTCACAATATATTCGAGTACGCATCAATCGTTTTAACAATATTTCACAATATTGCTATATTTTCGATCAAATAAATGCAGCCTTAGTGAAAATATGAGACTTGTGAGAGATTAAAAAATCTTATTGACCCCAATATTTTGAATTGTGGTGGATCAGAGCATTTTTTTTTCAAGCAGTAGTTTTATTAATAGACCATCAGAGCCATATTTAGACTGAGTCGGCCCGTTTTTTCAAGTTTTTCAATCAGAATCCCCCCCCCCCACACCCCCCACCAGCAGCTGCAGCATGATCATGTGATCACAGCTTACTGAAGTCACAAGGCACTTTATGGTCGTCTGCAGAGTCTGAAATGCTGGAATACTGCTGACAGCACACCAGATGGTTCATGTCAGGATAAATCAATGGGACGTTCGAATTAAATAATAAAATGTGTGCTGATAGTAGTCAAACAACTCCCCACAATGCTTACGTGAATGTAATTATATCGTATTACACAAATGTTTGGATAAGAAGCTGGGTGGGGGTCATCAGGGCTCAGGATACATGAGATATGAGATGAGGCAAACAGAATCATAAAGATTTATGGAGATGTTTATTGTTGCATTAGTGCTATAAACTGGTCTTAATAAAAAGCTCATTGATGCTCTGTACTGTAGTTTATAGGTCATGATATATTAAGCTAAAAGCTTAGTGTGCTGTTGTGCTTTGAAAAGAAATGCAATTACCAACTAATCATTCCATTAGAAAGAAAGTCACAAATTAGATCTTTTAAAATGTTTTGATGTTGTTTTAGACTCCAGCTTATTTTACTGCATCATTCAAAATATAATGTTATAATGTTTTGGGAGTGTGCAGTTTGGTACAGTATTTATATGAAGCTATCTTTAATGTTTGTAGGGAAAATTCTGAATTACATAATATCTACCCAGTGTTGTTTCCCATGTAGCTGCATTAGTCACACACACACACACACACACTACATGACTGGGTAATCAGAGCTTAAGGTGGGCATACATTCCTAAGATTTCTCTGTGTGTGTGTGTGTGTGTGTGTGTGGCTTTACAGCAGCTCGTGTATATTGAGAAGATATGCCTTGAGAAGGTTTTAGATGCGCTCAACATGAACAAATCTGTTGTAGCATGTCTGTGTATGAAAAGAAAGAAACAGAGAAGGTATCCATTATTAACCACATCCATGTACCACCCATTATCCCAGTGCTTCCGTTTGAAATTAGGTTTGTGGTCATGTACAGTAAATGGGCGTAGTGTTTAAGGGAGGAATTGCTCAGTTATAAAGCTGTTCTAAAGATGCACACATGACACACACACACACTCAGTTAGAGTGTGAGTATAAAGATGTGTGGGTTATATGAGGGATGGTCCTATCAGCACATAAAGAGTCATTGTTTTCTGCTTTATCAGCACGGCCTTGTGACTGCGCAGGACACACACACACACACACACTCATGAAGGACGGATTCCAGCACTGTAGGCTTGCACATATTTTACCTTGTTGATGCAAAAATGAAACATTAATGCCTGAAAATAAGGTTGTTGCTTTACAGCATGTTAAAGTGTGTGAAATCTATTAAACACAGAGCCTGTGGGATTCTCACTCAACCAACACCACTATGATAACAGATTTGTTCAGCTCTACAGTTGCTGTATTTGGCAGCAAGTGTAAAAAGAATGACAATATGTGTCCATATTTATTATACTGTATGTTGTTCAGTATTATGACTGCAGTTGTGTGGACTACTGTTATGGTATATTTGTGTGTGTGTGTGTGTTTAACAGCATCTAGTCACCATTCACTTATATATGGTAAAAGTGCAGCATGGAAATCAAGTTTATCATCTCCCTTTTGGTCTACATAACATTATAAAAGAACATTTTATAGTGAAACTTTCCTTTTCTCTCCAGAAAATATTCTTCTCTCTTGTTGTTTGTTTTTGCAGCTGAAAAACCATGCTGATGGTCCTTTAGAAAATGGCACAAATGTTAAACTGCCAATCTCACACCAGCTGCAGACTGAGGGCATAATCATTATGTGTCGTGTCAGTCTGTATGCAGTTATGCTGATGATAATAGCTCTCTCTCTTTTTCTCTCTCAGTCAATGAGTACCTGTTCACGGTTCAGGCCCGTGGGATCCAGATCCGCGAGAATGTGAGGAATATGGGAGCTCAGGTTCTTGAGCAGATGGTCCGCGGTGCATACAACGTCAACGGCACAGGTACGAAACGTTACGAAGCACAGAGAACAGACCACTAATCTTCCTTCCTATAGAACATCCCTGACATTTCCTCAGGAAGTGAAGGCATTACATCCTTCTAAAACCCACCGAAAACAGCACCGTTTTGTAGGAAGACTCTCTAGCCAATACCTTTGCAACGCTGATTTAGTGAAAATCTTTAATACGATGTCTATAAAACATGTTTGCATTGTCTTTTTGAATGTACACTAGTAAACGTATATCTACAAAACCAAAAGAGGGAGTTTTCATGGCCAATCCCCAAAGATCTCTGCAAAGTCCAGGGTGGGATTACACCAGGGTTTATGAAGTATGTGGTCTCACAGAAAAAAAAAGAAAAGAACTGCTGGTTCTCGGGAAGATAGTTGGGATGTTTGTAATGTATTGCTGTATGAATGTGTGATTCTCTTGTTTTCTAGACTATGCATACGAGTTTAACTTAAGTGAGGCAGATGTTCCCACCACTGCTTACCTCCCGGAGGGCTTCACGTACAAGCCTGATCAGGTCTGCCCGGAAAAACTGCCCTCCATGAGTAAGTGCTGGATCTTAATGTTGCTTTTGGTACTTTTGAGGAAACACACTTCAGAAGCACTGTATGACCAATTGAGCGAATGAGTTGTTAAAGCTCCTAAGAGTCATTTCCTGTGTTTCCTTTGTGTTTAAATATTAAATGGCTACCAAATAAAGTTTTTGAAACTGGTTTTGGAATAGAGCTTGTGCAGCTTTGTTTCTGGTGTCGTTAGCTGTAATTACAAAGTTCTCATAAATACTGGTATGATCGACGGCAGTTGTTCTAACGATATGCATGTTCATGTTCAGAGGGAAAGATGAAGGTGAACATGAGTGAGATCGCTCTAGAGGAGGTTGAGAGACTACTCAAGAAAGCAGATCCAAGTCTGTCTCTCGGGGGCCACTGGAAACCGCACGACTGTCTCCCACGCTGGAAGGTTCGTCATAAAAACTGAAACTACCTTTTACCTGTTCTTCTTTGTTTTCTTTTTGTGGTTGTGGTCTGAGGTACAGAAAGTTTGCTTCACAAAAAGCTATGTTGCAAGATGGGTTGAGTGTGTTCTTTTTTTTAAAAGCCTGTCATTCGCTTCTCTTTGTGTGGTTATAAGCACACTGTAACCCAGTGTCTAGTTTTAATTTGGGATTAAATGCTTCTGTTGAAAACAGTTGTTGCCAAACTAAAATGTTTTATGCAAGAAGCAGAAGAATTGTAATTTTGTTAACATGCTTCGATGCAGTAATACACAAATTGTTACACGTAACCTAACATTAAAAAAATCTAATTTCTAAGACTATTTAAAACACGTATGGGACAGTGGAAAGAAGCAGTTTAATCATCTAATCCGACTTAGGAAATAATTAACTGAAATGGAAAAAATGACTATTTCGTGGGAAATGAATCAAACTGTTATCAGTATTTTATTTATTTATTCATTTATTTAATTATCCATTCATTCCTTTAGCATTTGTGAATTTTGAATCAGATACAACACTGGGACAATCTTTAAAAAACATCTAAAAGAAAGTCATGAAGATATTTACAATATTGGACATTTTCAAATTGTCAAAAAAAGTCAAAACAAACATATCTTTAAATATTCAATATTTATCACCTAGCCCTGACACGCACATACAAATGCATCTTAGATATTGTAGCAGCAATAGAAATGTGGTAAAATTCTTATCTTTGGGCATCTTTGACACTGAAAACTGATATTTCTTGATGTTTTGCGATCATTTTCCTATGTGTTTTAGGTGGCCATCTTGGTTCCTTTCCGTAATCGCCATGAGCACCTCCCCATACTTTTCCGACATCTGATCCCAGCGCTTCAGAGGCAGAGACTGCAGTTCGGTTTCTACGTCATTGAACAGGTCAGGAAAAAAAAGCTGTCGCACTGTACAACCTTATGTGGCTCAAGTATCCAAATTCTTCTTACAGCAACTGTAAAAATGTGTATACTGCAAAAACTTTTTGTGTAGTATGGTAGTATGCTATTCTGACCCATAATATCTGTCACACCATTTGTCAAACTCTTCTAAATCATCCCACTGAAACACAGCCGAATATAAGATTGCTTTTACAAATGATTTATGCACTACACATTACAACTAATTCAGCTCGACTACTGTGTTACTGCCAGTATCATGAGCAACACTAAAGTAGTCCTATTTCATTGTAAAAATATTTTTTAAGTATTGGTAAGAGGTAAAGGAAAGGAAGTTACATTAATGCTTGTGTGTGTCCACAGGCAGGAAATGAACCGTTCAATCGTGCCATGCTGTTTAATGTCGGTTTCAAAGAGGCCATGAAGGACTTGAACTGGGATTGTGTAATATTTCACGATGTTGACCACATTCTGGAAAATGACCGCAACTACTATGGTTGTGGTGAAATGCCAAGACACTTTGCGGTCAAACTCAACAAGTACTCTTACATGTAAGTTTTCATAACATTTCTCCACGTGTGATTTTGAAATGTTGTTCGGTCTGTGTATGACAGAGGTGTAAAGAGTACCTAAAAACCATACTTGAGTAAAAGTGCAGATACCTTACAGTGAAAATTACTCCAGTACACGTTACAAGTCACCAATTCCAAAACAACTCGAGTAAAAGTCTTAGAGTATCTGATTTTAACAGTACTTAAGTATTTTACTTGTACTAAATATAGGCTAAAAAAATGCACTAGTCAAAGAGTCATGCCAGTGAAAAACTGTAACGTTGTGGAGAAGCTGGGGGAAAAAGGCAGAGGCAAGGATCCATGTGCAGGTATTTAATGGAAAAACTAGAACAAACAATAAGCCAAAAACCAAAGGGAACAAAGAACAGAATGACTGGCAAACAGACAACCATTACATTCGACAACTCACAAGGAACTAAAGAATAACTAGGGCTATATATACACAAGGGGGCTAACAAGCTTAACAAGATAACAAGACACACCTGGGGAGACTAATCAAGGGGAACCAATGAACAAACGGACTACAAACTGACTACAAACATCACGGGAGACAGGAAGTGACATAAAAGTCCAGGGCAAGGCACAGAGAAACACTGAGAGTTGATTTGTGAGGAGAGCAATCACGTTTATTTTCTAAAACCAAAATAAAACTGAACACCTCAAAATTACAAAACAAACAAACAAAAAACTATATCTTTCAAAAAGGTCTCTTCAGTAGGCTATAATGGATAAATTAAATAATGTATAATAAATAATGTAATAAAGTCAAATTAAAAAGCCGAAGCCTTCTTGCACTGGCTGAGCTGGTTTGGGCCTCATTGCCGGCTGCAGTCATGTCCTCATCTCATATATAAAACCCCTGTGATTCACAAATACTTGCTAAGGAACTTGCATTCACATAAAGTAGCCTTGTTGAAAAGTTTGTTAACTTGTCAGTATACAAGCCAAGTACACTTAAGTATAACTTCACTAAGTGTATGTCATATAAAAAGTAGACTAAAAGTATATTCTCTTATTTTTTAATTTTACGAAACAGCCCTGTAGAATAAGCTTCTTTGGTAACACTTTAGTATAGGGACCAATTCTCATTATTAACTAGTTGCTTATTAGCATGCCTATTACTAGCACATTGGCTGTTTGTTAGTACTTACATATTCTGCATGACCATATTCTACATCCCTAATCCTACACAACACCTAAACTTAACAACTACCTTACTAACAATTAATAAGCAGAAAATTAGAAGTTTATTGAGGCATAGTTAATGGTTTGTTAATAGTGAGAATTGGAGCTTAAAATGACCGCTTCATTTTTGCAATGGTAGCTAAATACCAAAGTACTCCACAAACTACAGTCTTGGGTAGACCACCTATTATGAAACACATTCGTACAAAGAATCAATTCATCTTGGGTGACTGTGATCAAATGGCATCTATAACCAAAAACTATTTATTTTGCATGATGTTGCATCTATACAGTATAGTTTGTATTATAAATAGTAAATAATGTAAATAGTCCTTAACTTTTTGCAGGGACTTGGAACATAGTTGACACTTGCATGTGTTTTTTCCAGGGTTCAGTTTGCTGGCTACAAAGTGAGTCGACCTCATGGAGACACTGGTCATTATAAGTCTATACCACACCACCACCGAGGGGAAGTCCAGTTTCTGGGCAGGTAAGATGAGAACAGCCCTTTCTAAATATTTATTTTGCCATATTTCAGATGACATCCTGAGTGCATGTTAGCAGCCGGTTTACTGTAAACGATGATAATAACACTTCCTGGACTGGACTATCTGGATCCCACTAAATGTGTAATACGTACTATAAAAGGAATGATTGCCAACGGACGATAAAGGTGCGCTCAGTAATTTCCCCACACTTAAGATGGATTACACAAAAGTAGTACTTTTTATTTTCAAAGCCTAATTTTGTTTCACATGGCTACCACTACTCGTAAAAAGAAGTAGACTTTCATTTCATTTCATTTTATTGTATACTAAAATCATTTAATGTATTTATAAGTAAAGTATATTTTCTAAGTTTCTTGTAGAAATTATACTAAAATCAATGTACTGTTAGTACATTTGTATTAAACCAACATCATACTTATAGTTTATTCACACTATGGAAGAATTGTCAATGAAATCAACCAAAAAAAAAAGGTCAGGTTCAGTTCCACCAAAGTTATTCTAGCAAAATGCTGACTCATTACTACACTGTAAAAAATACAACTTTTGAAAACTTCTACTAACCAATGTAAAAAATAAGTAGCCCGATCAAAGAATTTTTAGAAGAAGTCAGTTAATTTTTTGTGTGAACTGAACAAAAATGCTCTAAACACGTCGCTGACTAAAGTTTTGTTTACCTTACTTAGATACTCAAGTATTTGTTCACAACATATCCAAATGTTCTCCCAACTTTTCAAATTGAGTCATCTGAGCAAACAATTTGACATTGAACAATACTGCACAAGTTCCCAGCATGCATTGCAGCTTGAAAACATTTTATGTCAATTATAATGAAAATATTACCATTGTTTTAATTTTTACTGGCTTAATTTATGCTGCTGCTGCTGCTGTCAGTGTCAGTTAGCTGACATGTGGATCAGAGTTCATATTTTTACTGATTTAACATTTGTTGATCCTCACCATGGTTGAGAATCGTGTGCTGAGGTACTGTATATGTGCATCTCATTGCAACTTGTTTAATACTTTTGTCTATCAGCCTAAATGTATGCTTTTAGTTTTAGGAGGCAAATACTATCCATATTATGTAAGGCTTTGAAAATAAACATACATCTAAAAGAAAGAGGATTGTTAAAAGAGATTCCCTGTTGAAAAAAACAGCATATGCTGGTTAGGTATGTTTTGACGCTGGGATGCTGGTTTAAGCTGGTCCTTTGCTGGTTTAATCAGGGATCTTATCTATGCACAATCAGCTTGTAACACTCCAAAGAGAAAGGAAAACTTGAAATCGCATCATATGACCCCTTTAAGGCCTTTCCAAGCACGAAAAAGCGAAAACGAATATCAGACACGCTGGAATAAAACAATAGATTTCTATGGATGCTTCTACATAGATCGCGAACATTTGTGCACCGAAAATGCTAACATTTTTTTAGAACCACTCCGACGAATCTTTTCAGTTTCGCAAAGTGAAAACACGGGCCGTCCAATAAGATTTCAGCTAGGATCATGTGACTGGAGCAGCTGCTGTTGCACAAAAGGGTGAGAGTGGTGGTGCTGTTTTGAAAACCAGTGTAAACAAACACAGAAGAAGAGTATCCCGGATAAGAGAAGAGACTGGATGCTGAGTACTTGTTATAGTTGGTATTTGAGAACAGATTTATTCTCACATGTTCTTTATACAGAATAACGTTTATATTAATTCTTCACTGAATTATGTGGTCTATAGAGCACCGTCCGTTTTCTTCCACGTGCACGAGTGTTATGAATCAGAGCACGTTCACTCTTTTTCTTCACATGAAATATGAAAGCAAATAGACATGATTATGACGATATATTTTCTGTATATGTTTTGTATGCAGCTCATGGTATTTTTATAGCAATAAAGGATGTTTATGACAAATATTAGCAGTGTAGCGTTATTAAACATACAAAGAGTGCATGTGTCTGCTTATTAATCAAAATCAACTATAGATCACAACTGTAAGTTATTACAAGCACTTGATGATGGTTTAAAGTGGGTAAGCAAATACATTAATAATTACATACATTTTCAAGTGTAGCTTGATGCTAATTGTACTTCTAATTATATTTTAGGATGTAGCCTATTCTTGTAAGTATTATAGATAGTTTGTGTTTCTGGTGTACAACCAAACTTTGTTTATCTTAATTTAATGCTGTATATTGAACAGCAGATGATGTTAAATCCATATATGAGATACATATCTGAATAAAAATGCATTGTTGGTCGGCGCCACCTAGCGTGCAGGCATGAATTAGCACTAGAAGGCATGAATTAGCACTAGAAGGCATGAATAAGCATTAGAAGGCGAACAATCATTTTGCGTTCGGTGTGAAAGTACCGTTCGTCGGCAATTCGCCTCTCTTTTTCGCATCGCGCTCAGTGTGGAAAGGCCTTTAGGCTGTGAGAACAGTCACCTAGATTTCAGGTAAGTGAGACCTCTGGTGGCAGAGTTGAGAAATGGCAGATGATGTGACAGAACACTCTTCTTTAGGAATGTCTCCTGATGCTTCATAGACTCACTACTCGCTTTTGTTTTGTAAGTGCTGGTTTAAGAGTGTGTTTTGATGAAAATCAGACAGAGAGATATGATAATAATCAGGCAGTTTGAGCTTGGACTCTGATATCCCAGCATGCAACAGAAAGGGGTCATCCCATTGGAAGAGTTGACTGTGCAATTGACTGGGGATGGTTCCCTGAGGTAAGGCACACCTTGATGGAGATGCACTAGGGAAATAAATTAGGCTCCTCGATCACAAACAATTTCCTCCAGGATGCCAAGTTCTTAGTAGTTTCCATAGTAGTAGGTAGTTTCAGGAGTGGAATAAAGTGACAAGTAACTCAGTTCTAGGAACTAGCCAGTAGGAGCTAGGATTATGAAAGGTGATGTGATGGGTGGGCTGTCAGGAAGATGGGACAGGGCATCAGCCTTGATGTTCTTCCAGCCAGGCCCGAAAGGAAGATTGAACTTGAAACATGCGAAGAGCAAGGCCCATTGTGCCTAATGTGAATTCAATGCCTTGGGGCTCAGGATATACTTAAGGTTTCTGTGATCAGTTAACACCAAGAAAGGATATTTAGAAAGGGTATTGCATTTAGAGAGGGTCAATTTGCGAGAAAAGAACACAAAGAAAAATTTGTGAGCAGGTTTCACACTCGGATGCATCCACCTCAACTACAAATGGTAGCTCAGGGTCAGGATGCTTGAGAATAGGTGCTGAGGTAAAGAGGTGCTTTAAATCCCTTAATGTATCTTGCGCATCTTCAGATCACTGAAGCTTGTGAGGTTTGCCTCGGAGAAGGGAAGTAAGAGAACAATCCAGACTGCTGAAATATTGTATAAATTTCTGATAAATATTTGTAAAGCCTAGAAAACTTTGTAGCTACTTTACAGTTCTGGTTGTGGTTCAATTCAGGAAAGCCCGAACCTTGGACTGGTCCATCGCTATGCCTTAGAGTCCAATGACATATCCTAGAAATGTGATGATGATCTGTGGAATATTTCTCTGGAAGACTGAATCTTCTCAAGGAAGACTGACGGTTAGTTAGAGAGGCCAAAAAGCATAAAATATATTTATAGTGACCCCAATGTGTGCTGAAAAACGGTTTCCACTCATACCCCTCGCAAATTCGAGTCCGATTATACACATTGCTTTATTTTAATTTAGTGAAAAACATAATTGTTCTAAGGCCATGGGTACCAAGGGTAAAGGATCAGAGTACTTTATGGTGATCTTATTAAGACCCCGATAATCGATGCTGGATAACCATACTTTTTCTCCACAAAGAACCCAGCTGATGCAGGAGACATGGAAGACCAAATGAAGCCATACTTCAAGGCTTCACTGATATATTTTCCATAGCCTGGGTTTCTGGAAGAGATACAGTAAAGAGTAGATATTGGACTTGGGAGGGTAAGAGATCAATGGCACAATCATATATTATGTGAGGTGGTAACTGAGTGGCATGAACTTGGCTAAAGGCTTCTTTCAGGTCAGCATATTCAGGATGAATGTGGGGACAGATCCATTTCAGTATTTGCCCCTCTTTTAAAGTGATTATGGAGTTGTTTGCCACCAATTATGGAGTTGTTTGGTGTGTGACCAGAAAAGCACAACATGGGTGGCTACAGCTTGAGTTCTTATGGGATCCAGCCTCTTATGAAGACTTCCAATTACCCAGCACCTGAGAACAGATGATGCCAAGCCCTGCAAGGACCTCAGATGATGCCAGCTTTGAATAAATATACAAATGATCACAACATGTAATCACTACCTTAAGCATGTTCAACATTTCTGTTTGAATACTTGTCATTTACTAACTGCTTGATTTGCACTATCTTAGAACTGTACATTTCTGCTATATGGACATTACTTTGACATAGTCACCTCTGATAACAATGATTCACAAGCCGAGTGAGTGTTTATTTAGTGCTGAAATGTGAACAGAGGGAATGCAAAGGATGAGTAGACATTTCTAATTGTGTCACTCATTTTTCATCAGTAAGATTCCCAGCTGTCCCAGAATCAATTGCTTCAACAGCAACCTTTCTCTTGTTCCATACAAGGGTGGTGCGTAAAGTCTCTTTACAAGTGGTAAATAAGATTATGTACTACGTTAATTTCTCTGGAGTGGGAGACTGGTTGAGCAGCGCACGTGGCAAGAAAATGTCCAAATAATCCGCAATTCATGCATAGATCCAGTTGCCTCCATGTCTGTTTGGCCAATTTACATGGGTTCTACAGAAAGGACTTCTAAGTTGGTTTCACTGTGGAAAATGGATCCGTCTATGGGCTTTCAAGCACAAAGAAGACTGTCAATGCAGAAGAAAAGCTGTATATACTGCTCTAGAGTCAAGTTGTTATCATGACAAGCCAGCTCTGTTTGAAGAATCAGGTTTAACCCCTCATGTTAAAACAGTTTTAGGGGATCATCGGCCCAGCCACACTGAGCTGCCAGGGTTCGGAGGATAAGACATAGTCTGATGTAATGCATGCAGTTACTTACTGGCTTCCTTGCCGACTTCATGGGGATGGTCAAACACCTTGCACAGATGATTCCTCCAATGAGGTTTAAATAGTGATGCCCCTCTCCCAGATCACGGTTGACCAGTCCAAAGCTCTTTTTGTAAGCAGCCACCTTAGATTCTTCAGTGGGGAAGGCATATGGTTGCTCAATGATATACTGGGAGCACTGATGAAGAAATCCCCAACAGGCCATCAAATTTATCCAGCAGGGCCAAGCGGGGCTTAGATGAAGTTAGCGGGAGTGAGTTGAAGATGCTCAGCTTGGGACTGAGCAGGTGTAGAGGGGGAGAATCGGCTATTCCAGCAGGATTTTAAACCTGTCCTGGATCACACAGGTGAGTGAGACCTCTATTGGTAGAGTTTAGAAATGGCAAATTATGCGACACCTTTATTACATCTCTGACTTGAATTTCCTGACTCATTTCTGTTTTCTAAAAAGTCAACTGTAATAAAAATTAGAAATTAGAAATGAAAATCTGAATCACGCGCAATTTTTACGAAGCTCATCAGTTTGAAAAAGCGAGGTGTGCTGTGATTGGCCAGCTATCCAATGCGTTGTGATTGGCCGAATACCTCAAGCGTGAGACGGAGATGTTAAGCCCCTCACATACTGCTGATGCCATGTCAGGCCGGAGCGATGAGACAAAAACATTCAAACCCATTACAAACGAGGCATTTGTTGCATCCAGTGGGGACATAATTACTGATCATAATGACTTATAATGCCTTTTTTCACGCGTTGCGTTGCATTGCGCCGCGTAAACATAAAACTCTGTCTGCATTTGTGATCGGAGAAATGACAAACAACAAGTGCTACTCTAACACTGTGGCGAATGAGCGGCAACCACATGTGACGGACCCGGGCTGGACTCCGCTTTGTCCACGGTGAAAGTTGTAGTATTTTCTCAGCGACCAGCACGGATCAGCTCTAGGCATGACGAAGCGGATATCGTCCTCTTTTGGAAGACCAAACAAAGTAGTTTCGCTTTCACAACGAAGCACACAGCGTGGCTGCAGCGTCAACAATACTACAGTGAGAATAAAAGTTACACCTTCTTTCTTTGCGTGAACATTTGGGCAGCGTTATGCAAATCTTCTAGTGTGGTAGATATGTGGGGGCGTGTTAGAGCGAGTCGTTTTAGGTAGGTGTGGCTGACTCTGAACTTTTATGAAGAATATCTCTTTGGATTTGAGACTTTAGTCTTTGCAACTTTACAGACCTTCTTTACGCACCAAGAGCTTGTAACACTCCAAAGAGAAAGGAAAAATTGAAATTGCATCATATGACCCCTTTAATTGAAAAAAAAAAATAATTTTCATTCATTCATAGGCTATATCAGGGGTTCCCAACCTTGTTCCTGGACATCTACCTTCCTGCAGAGTTCAGCTCCAACCCTGATCAAACACAAATGAACCAACTAATTAGGATCTGGGCACTTGATAATTACAGACTGGTGCATTTGATCAGGGTTGGAACTGAACTCTGCAGGAAGGTAGATCTCCTAGAACAGGGTTGGGCACCCCTGGGCTATATGATTGCAATAAAACTTTAGTTCAAAAACTTAAGTGCCATTGTTTAAAAAAAATGCTTTATTGACTGACGTTTCATAGACCTTCAGTTGTTATGCTTTCAAAATTCATGCCATTTGTATGTATGTAATTTCACAGTATTTTCACCCCCTGAATTGCTACACTACTTGTGCAGTCACAGTTCTATAATGGTACAATTTACTCAAAGTGATATTTTTGTATTTTTGTATTTATTTGTTTATTTATTTATTTTTGGGTGACATTAAAAATCTTTTTAGAATAATTGTACATAAATTATTTCTGAGAACTTTTTAACTGCAGGCATACATTATGGTACAGTACAAATATTTTGACCTCCATTTCTGAAGTTAATTGGCAACCCTAATAATGACGTAATTATCTTTTAATCACCCCCCCCCCCTTAAATGGCCCACTACCCAAATTTACCCTTTCACTTTGGAAAAACAAACAAAATCCAAAAAAGTTCAAACTGATTTTCTATACACTGTCAAGTCAAGTCACCTTTATTTATATAGCACTTTTAACAATACAGATTGTGTCAAAGCAGCTGTACAGCATTAGCTACGAAAATATTGTGTCAATAAGGCAAAGTAACAATAGTAAACACTCATTTTTCAGTTAAAGGCAATTCATCATTGAATTCAGTGATGTCATCATCCAGCTAAGTTCAGTTTAAATATTATCTGTTCAATCAAGTCAACGATATCGCTGGAAATTAAGTGTCCCCAACTAAGCAAGCCAGAGGCAAGAGCGGCAAGGCACCGAAACTCCATCGGTGACAGAATGGAGAAAAAACCTTGGGAGAAACCAGGCTCAGTCGGGGGCCAGTTCTCCTCTGACCA